AGAGTGAAAAAAAGGGAAATGTAAAGAGCAATCTATCTCCTGCCATTCTTCTAGCTGCTAATCAGCTGTGTTGGGGCTTCAGAGCCAAAAGTTGTACCCAGAACAATGATTATTGGAGGACCAATTTTTCGTGTTGTTTATTTTTAACCTAGCTATATTCTGAACTGCACAACCCACTGTTGCAAGGGGTAGTACAATTTATCTATGCATCATGTGAAAAACACTTATTCTATTTTCTTCTATTCTTGAAGTCTCTGGCATGTTGCTGGAATCTACTTGATATTTATCCTCATTCATTCAATTATCTTTTAACTGCAATGAAAGCCACAGATTAGATGAAAGAAATTAATTTCAATAATCAAGAGGCCTCTATTGACAATGTGTACAGCAGTATGCAACCAAGGGACATTCACTCTTTAGCAGTGGATGTTGTACTTGAAAGTGAGATTCTACTCATTAAACTTTGGATGTTATTCACTGGATATTTCCAGTCCAACTTGGGTTAATGGTATTTTGCCACTGATTTATTTAGAGTCAGATTTTCATCTTTGGCGTTATACCTGCATTTCTTTACTTGGTCACCAGCCCACAGATCTGTTAGGACAGCAGAGCCAATGCAGTTATGAGTGTGGGATTAGGATGCAGCCTTGCTGGTTGAACTAGAATTTGTCCAAATGCCTGGGCAAGCTCTGCCCTTGCTGGCCTTGTGGCTAGCAGGACCAAGGGAGTCATCCTTCCCCTGTACTCAGCTTTGGTGAGGCCGTACCTTGAATACTGTGCCCAGTTTTGGACCCCTCACTACAAGAAGGACATTGGGGCACTGGAGCACATCCAGAGAAGGGCAACGAAGCTGGTGAACAAACCTTATGAGGAGCAGCTGAGGGAACTGGGGTTGTTTAGTCTGGAGAAGACGAGGCTGAGGGGAGACCTTCTCACTGTCTACAACTACCTGAAAGGAGGTAGTGGTGAGGCAGGTGTGTGTCTTTTTTCCCAGGTAACTAGTGATAGAACAAGAGGTAGCGGCCTTAAGTTGTGCCAAGGGAGGTACAGATTGGATGTCAGGAAATACTTCTTCACTGAAGGGGTTATCAGACAAAGGAATGGGCTGCCTAGGGAGGTGGTTGAGTCTCCATTCCTAGAAGTGTTTAAAAGATGGGTAGATGGGGTGCTCAGAGATACGGTTTAGCAGTGGACAGGTACAGTTGGACTCAATGATCTCAACTCTTTTCCAACCAGGAGATTCTATGATTCTATGACTGATTCTACAAAAACCCCTCTGCAGGACATAGATAACAGAGCCTAGAAACAGCCCCAGCCTGCAGACTAATGTTTTAACCAAGTCACCCTCTTTGCTTATAGAACTTCTCTAGATATCCCAGAAAACCACTTGCTGTGTATCCACACCAGGCTGTGTTCATTAGCCCTTTCAGAGCTAGATGTCACAGGTCTAGATTTTGTCTGACACTCAGGCTAGCTGGTCTAGATCTAGGTTGCAGTTTTATCTCAAACATACTGCAACTCTCTACCAGTCTACAACTATCTGCAGCTGTCCACAGCCTGCTACGACTAACTTGATGGCCTGAATGTGTTAGCTGACAAGGCTGTTTGAAGCTTTAAATATACATGTGTGTAGAAGCCCTTATATGAAGGGCCCCATATTCAAAACAGACTGCCTTTATTCACTGCTTTATGTCACTATAAAACAGTAGACAATGGTAGGAATTTCAGTTAAAGGGATAAAATCTCTTCCGAGCAACAGGATGTTTTCAAATTTACAGTCTAATAGAAACCACCTCAATCCTTCCTGCACTAACAGTCTTCAAATTTGCACTCTATCAAAAAGAAGTCTCGATGCTGCAAACATTAAATGGGAAAAAGAAGTGGTATCTAACCCGAAAACGGAGACATGAGCTGTTTTTCTCTTGTGGTTCTTTTAAAGTCCGAGCTATTTTGTACCTCCATCTGTAATTAGCAATTTTTAAAAATAAAACACAATATAGCCCTACTGAACTTGCTTATAGTCCTTATTACAATGTCACTGCCTAGTCCAGGTATTTTTTTAAGTATTAGTTTTTAATTTCAGTCTTCTTAACTTATCTGATTATTTTACTTAAATTGTTGTGTATCATCATATATAAAGCAAATGTAGAGTGATGTCCAAAGAATGAGTATATATCTAAAACATTATTATGGACTTACCAACAACTGTAAGGTTGACTTGTGCTTGTCTGCTGCCAAGTTTGTTCTCTACGACTAGGGTGTAACATCCACAGTGTTCCTGCTTTGTTGATGATATTGTTAGCTTGCTGCTGTTTTCAGCATTCTCAATTTTAATATATTCATTTTCTTCAATCTGCCAAATTCAAAAGAAAAAAAAAAAAGATTTTATGGAATAAATGTCTTAATTTCTGAAAAAACTCAAATTACAATACAAGATTATCTTATTGAGTGTTCTCTGCAGATAACTCTATTGCAGCAGTGAATATTTGCATCTGGTAAAGGTTATAATCAACACAAAACATCTAGAAATGGAGTGGAACTTTATAGTGGCTCCAGTCCTGTGAAGGCAGCTGGGAGAACTGGTATTGTTAGGACTCCACTAAAGAACAGGAGTTTCACTTTCAAACTCATCTTTGACAGGCTGAAAGTGTAAACTGTGTAACTGGCAAAAGACCAAAGTTTGGTCTCACACATCTCACAGAGACCACAGTGGAAGAAGGGTTTAACTCTAAATACCCTAATTCATTTGCCATTCCCCTTTAGAGGCCCAATGTGCAAATCATCCATAGCTGTGACTTTTACCCTCTTGTTTTAACCATCCTTCTTCTGTACTTCCACATAAATCAGGGTAACCATTTCTTGGGCTTGAACAATTGAAGATGATGTTGCCTGAAATGGAGATGTAATGCCACAGCTGTGCAGAGGGACATACAAATAGCAGATTTAGCTTTCCTATAGCATTTTTATTTTCTGGAAAGGCAAAAATAAAAATCTCAGCTGAATACCATAGGCATATTATTAAGTAGTTTTTAATTGAAACAAAGCTATCAAAGCATAAATGACCAAGGAGACTTAGATTTTAATCAGTATTAGCTTGAGACGTGCCATTATTTAAAAACCTCATAATGCTACACTGCAATTATAGAAGCTGTACACTGTGTTCTTATGAAACAGACAACATAATGTCAATGCCCTTCTTCCTCCCACCACTTCCTTCTTAGATAAGTGACTCTTCCAACGCATTCTCAGAATTTCATTAAAAATGAAGGCTATTTAGTTTGCCTTATCTCGTCTCATATATTCAGAAAATCAGAAATTACAAGGCTAAGAGCAGGACTTTCCCTGCTTCCTCCTCAGCTGAGATAGAACACATGCATTGCTATGTGTCCAAAAGTAACCTGAGAAAGATGCTCCTACAGTAACTTGAATAGAAACTTAGTAAATGGAATTATGTAGGATTACAGTCTAAATTATACTGGAAGTTATTCCTCCCTGCCCCTGTACTTTGTTCTTCTGAGATTCTTTTATGTTTTGCTTCCTTAGAATTAGTCAAAGGGTAATAGTGGAAAAAAAAATCAGTCTAGTAGAACTAGATCTGTGTTATGCAGGGAAAGCCCTGAGTGTGTGCAGAGAAAGCCCTGAAAGGATGCTCAGTGTCTTGCAGAGGTTGTGGGGTACAGGAAGCTGGGTCCCTGTGTCCAAGAAGGAAGTCACTGGTCGTAGTTAAGAAGCTCCAACAATTAGCAATGTTAAACAATGGACTTTGTTCCTCAGCTAACAGGGGTTTTCAAAGACTTTCCCCTTTTTACCTGAGCACAGTTCCAGCAGCCCTCCACTAGACTGCCATAATGTACAACAGTATGGATCACAGCTTCCTGATGTTCCCTTGCTTCAAGCAAAAGATATTTTTCCAGAATATACCTGTGAGAGGCCACTGTGGCTCTCCTGAACCTGAGAGAATGTGAGGAAGGAACATGGAGAGGACAAGTCCCTCCTGCACGCTGCAGCATACAATGGCAGGGCTGAAATTACAATTCATCCCTTACTGGATCTGCTCAAGTAACTACTACAAATAACCCCCAGGAAAATTGTCAGAACACTTGGGAGATTTTCACTTTTAGGACTGGGAATGAATGGGACAGAGCTGAAATCAACCACATTTATAGAAGAGGAAGAAATCCAAGAATAAAACGATGTGTAGTGAAGTATAAGTGAAAAAGAAAGCAAAATAATGGTGCAGCACAGTGTATAGTAAATGGCTCCCCATTTAATTTAATAAATGAAAGACTGCTGCCCTCACTTGTCCTCCTACAGTGTTTATTAACCACCCTGAAGTTTTTTTCTTTTCTCAATCACCTGCCATAATGGACCATTTAAAAATTTGTATGTTATTTTAACATACAATTTTGCAAACCTTTAGATTGTCTCCTAGTGAATAACTAAGGAAGAAAGTGTAAAGATGGTAAAAGTAAAATTTTAAAAAGGGAAAAAGGTGTAGAATCACAGATTATGGATCTGATATGGGTATTATGAGCTGCTGGTCCTGTTATCACATAGATTTTTAATCTAAAAATGGCCTTGAAATCTATGTAAACAGGATTGTTGCATTCAACAATGAACTCAGAATTCTGCACAGACCAGAAACCAACTTTTGAGGGGTACATTTTACCCACATGTTAAGACAGAGCTCAACAAAACAGGATTCTAAATATCACTGGAGGTTCTGAGGCCTATTTTTGTAGAAATGAGTAGGTCACTTCTTAATTCCAGTCTTGAAACTAAAGAATTTTAAGAAAATATATGAGTTCAGGAAAAAAACAACCTTTCCCCTAAAGTAAGAGGTTATTTGGGGTTAGCAAAGGTGGACTCTGGAATACCCTTTGCATTAATAAACTGTTTTGAATTCTTTCAATTAAATGCTGACACATCTGGATTTAGAGTCTAAACTTCCTTGTAGGAGGAGTTGTTTTTATTTATGTTCTATAGAGTGCATAACAAGTTCAGAATGAAATAAACAGAACAGCAGCTACAGTACTTATTTATATTTGCTGTATCCTAAAATGGCACTTCATCTTCCAGTTTGTACTTGCATATTGGGTTATTTGATTTAAAGTGGTTTTATTATTTGCTAAAGCAACTCTTTTTTAGAAACTGCCCTTCTGGACACATGCAATATAGTTCAAGGAAATTAATTTGAGTAGAAGGAACTTTAAACCTAGGGGCAGAGGGCACTCATGGCAGCATAGTTGCTGTTGTGCTTTGCAAGGTGATATTTGTGTTGTAAGATGTTGCACTCAGGCTTGTTATATGGCATTTTGCCCCTCTGACATAACTTTAGACCAAGCATCAATGAGGGAGGAGAGAGATGTTTCCTGTCACAGATACTTTTCAGATATCTCTACCTTTCACATCACTTTTCCTTTAATTACATGGTCTAAGGCTGTTCTCAAAGGAATAGACATTTGTTATAGGAGGGGACAGGCAGCAACAGGTTTAAACTGGAGCAAGAAAGATTTGAGTTTGGCATTAGGAAAAAATTTCTAACACTATGGATATTTAAGCACTGCAATAGATTGCTAACGGAAATGGTTGCTAATGGCTGTGAAGTCTTCATCATTTGAATGTTTTCAGCAGAGGTGAGGAAAACATCTGGCAGGAATGACATGGCCTTTGCCAGTTCCTGGGGAAGGGAGATGGACAAGATGGGTCATTTGAGTTCCTTTCAAGCTCTACTTTTTCGATGATTGTTAAAACAGACCAGAAAACAATTTACCTGCTTACGGAATTTCATCCAGGTGCAAGTAATGGGTGCTGTTCCTACCACCTTGGCAAACAGTTCCACTGATTCACCCGCACGGACTTTTCTGTCTTCTGGGAACTGAGTAATCTGAGGAGGAGCAGCTGATGAAAATAAATAAGTAAATAAATGAACAAACAAACAAACAAATAAAAATCTCTCTTTAGGTGACTATACTTTCTATTTTTCTTAAAATTCAAAATACATACATCTCTCAGCTCAACAATTTCAGAGCAGCATTTGAAATCCAGATTAGCAGTTATCTATTGCTTGCAATGAAACTATTCTGTGGGCATTGCCATTTCTACTGTAGTGAAGCAATAACTATCTACTTGTCAGAGGTTTGCTCATGCAAGACCAAGGTACAGAAATCCAAAGGCCAAAAGTGTTAAGACCTAGTACCAACTCCAAATATTCAGCTTATGAATTTTTCAGAATTGGGTTTTTCAGAAAAACTTATTTTTTCTTTTTCACTTTTTATTTTTGGAGAATGGCTCCAGCTACCTTCACATCAATTTGTGAGTGCTGAGGGGGGCTGCAAACCTGCTCCCCAATGTCACCCACAGCATTCAGAAAATTTAAGACTCAACAGCTGCCTATGAAGATTCTAGCTTCAGTAGCCAGGTAATCATCACGTGGGACATCAATTAGAGAGACAAGGAAGGAAGTTGATGTCTTGTCCATCACACTCAATATTCCCATGAGCAATGACAGATCCTTTTGTTTGTGCATTACAGGGCTTCTTTTAAATCTTGCAGTCCCGTTCATACTCCTCATGTCTGGATCAGGTATTTCTCCTCCTCTGCTTTCTCACTGCCTGAGTATCAACAGGTGGCAGAACATCTCTTTTGCTAATAGTGCTCTTTCCTGACTCTCAGTTGTGATGCTCGGTGTGCCAGACCTGTTCTGTTGCTTTACAGGAACAGCATAGTAAAAAAAATATTTGTGGGGGGTAGTGAATGTGTGAGGTTTGATGACACTGACAGAAGCAATAAAAGGCATTCTCTAACATTAGAATTGTCTCACTGCCAAATGTGACAGTCCAGTCCAAACACAGGGCTACTGGGCATGAAAAAAAATGCTTTATTTTTCTTTTCAATGTAATTAAAATAAAGTGGCTTGTGTGTGTGTGTGTCCAGATTTGTTTTCTGAAAAGTGTTTTTGCTTTGAAATATCTGAAGGAAACTAGGCTGAGGCACACATCTGGCAAAGAAAACAGCTTGAGTAGTTCATAAGTCCGACAAAGTTTTAAGACACTGAAAGCAGGTTCCTATAAAAGGAACATTCTGGATAACTTTAAACATAGATAGCTTTGCCTAGGAGAGTGCAAACACATTAATAGGTTACCATAATACCAGTTATGAGGAAATGTAGAATCTAGCAACTTCTCTAGCTACTCACGCAGATGTGGTGTTCTGTGATACATAAGAAAATCTCTTTCACGGAAGGCTAAAGTGTTGTTACGACACTACTGCTGACTTTTGGTAGGATCTTGGTATAGTTTATTCAATAGTAACTTTTTTACATGCTCATAATTTAAGTCTTAGCACACATAACCTTATGAATGAGTTTGAAAAATGGACTTTGCTTTCCAGTTTTCTCCTCATAATCATATAAGCAAGCAAATTTAGTAGGCAAAGAACTGTACTTAGAAATGTGGTGTCTGTTCTTTAACACTGTGTTGGATTATTATTTTCCGACAGCATGACACATGCAATAAATTACCTGCTTTTGGAGGAGTCTTTGGAGCCGGTTTCTTCTTCACTGTTGCTTCACCTAGTTAAAAAAAAAAAAAAAGTCATTAATTCAAAGGTGAGTTTTGGAAGGTAGCAGCTTAGCTGCCAAGCTTATATCCATAGCAATGCTTTGTTGGCAGTTGAAAATCTAACGGGTTCTTTCAGCATATTAATGAAACATACCTTAAAAAGAATTAAACATAATTTTAAAACACACTTTTATTATCCTGAGTGATCCTCAGCATATTCACAGTTGAAGCTGAACCTTTTTAAAAGAATCAAAGCAACCTACTAAGCATCTCCCATACTCTGTCATACTCCATTCCTTATAGCATTTTAACTGGAGAGAAAACACTGGGCCAAGATCCATGTCATACTGAATTTCTGTTCAGATTTCCAGAATAATCAATGCTGAATAAGGTCAGGTAAAACTAGGGTAGTCAACAACACATAATACTTCTTACACCACTTGTGGGCTAGCAAAGAAACAGCAATATACAGGCAGTAAACACCAGTATCACCCCGCTGCCTCATCCTCTTCCCTGGGCAGGGACAACTTTTTGCTATATCCACAAAGAAAGGGTCAAACAGAATTTGGATCCTGGGCACATAAATAATGGGAAGACAATGTTCTACAAAATGTGAACGGTAGATAGAAAGGAAGTAAAGAAGACAGGTAGGTAGAAAATAACTATTAAATATTTTTCACAAAACAAGAACTCGGGGCCAACCAATTAAATTACCAGGCGGCAGGCATAGAAGAAACAAAATAAGTATTTTTAAATATAGCATGCATAAGCTACGGTCACAGACAAGTAATGTTTTGCAAGACAAAAACATAAATGGGTTCAAAAGGACAAATTCATAGGAGTTAGGTCTAGTGGTGGCCATTAAATGTAACAGTCTGGATGACTTCAAACCACTGAATTCCAGAAGCGGAGGGGTTCATTCCTTTTAGAGCACTCTCTTTTCATCTGCTATCCTAAGCATCCTTGTCAGAGGACGGCCTCTGCTGTGAAAGGACATTTCTTATTTTCTTATGCTCAAGTAGGAAGCTTGATTGAAGTAGTCTGGCTTTTAAGATGTTATTGCCTCCAACGGAGGCAGTATCTGATGAGTGCTTTTGAGTATCCGGCAACATATACATAGGTGCCTAGTGATAGCCATAACAGCCTCAAAACATCTGAATTTTTTGGTCCATTGTTTACTTATTTCAAAGTAGCAAGACACTGAGAAGCAAAAAAATCTTTCAAAAATCCACCAGACTAATAAAGAGACTCTTTTATTTTAACCGCCTTTTTGCGACAGCAAACTACAAGCTGTGCATGATACTGAGGGAACACATCACCTGATGCCCCATGAATAAGGAGCCATGAGTTGTGAACTCACCGTGGAAGTCTAACATTATAGCTCAAGCAACAGACAGATGTGAAGATGTATTTTTAAGTTTCAGAGTCACTGGAGATAGTAACTTAGGTTCTGTAGGTTGTTAAAAGAAAAAAATGCTTTAATAAATATATAATGGTTTAGCTGTCAACAGCAGTGTTTATTCAGTTCATTCTGGGGAGTATTTCACTATGCACTGAATATAGAAGTTGTTGCTGTCATCTTCTTTTTGTAGATTTCCATTTAATAGTATTTTTTTCTCAAAATATGCTTAACTTTTATATACTCTGTCTTTATTGATATTGTTGGAACCAGAAACACAATAATGGAGAGGCAGGATATGCTTGCTGCATCAAAAAAGAATAGTTGTACATCTCCCAAGGAAGTCTTTTTTCTATGACTCTCAGCTCAACAGAACTAGTTAAAGGTTTAGATGAGTAATTGTGAGGTGTTTGTCCTAGTATAACTGGACCACCAGGGCATAAGCTAGGTATCTGTCTTGCCATGTCTTCCATGTGGACTTAATTCTGTTTAAATGGAGATCTTCAAAGAGCACTACTGCTCATTGAAGGGACCCACCACTTTTCGGGCCAAGAACAGACTGACCTGTAGCCTGGCTGCTGTAGTAAATGACAACAAACATATTTCCAGCTCCTCTTTCTTGCCCAAGCTGTTTGAGCAGCACGTGGTGTTTCCAAAGCAGCTTTCCCCTTTGTCATTGTATGGTCACACCCTGAGCAGAAACTCTCATTTATTTCAGGCTCTAGTCACAGCTACATAGATGAAACTGCTTATATGATCAGGTGCCAGTTGGAAGAGCTGCAGAGTCTGACCTGTCATCTGCTGTGAAACACCCCTATTAATGGAAGTAACTATTAATTATTCATTAGATACACAATCCCATGCAAACTAATTCAGTTATATGATTCTAAAACATGTTAATATTTGTTTGTGTGTGCTTTATTTGACATCAGTTTCTCTGCCTTTCTCTAAACTGAGAATGAAATACCTCTTGGGTATCTCCTCAGAACTATGATTAATACCAGCTAAAGCAATGACATGAATTTGATTACTTCCACACTCCATTAAGCTTGATATGAACAAAGGGCACCAACGATGAGGAAAAAGCACCATTTCTCAAGTACCATCTTGGGTTGCAGGTACTATTGCTATTTTTCAGAAACGTCACTGCAGACAAACAGGAGGAAAAGCAACTTCCTTAATCCAGCATGATTTTCACTCAGATATCACCTCCTGGCCTACACTGTATATTTGTTGCAGTACCTTAGTTAAGAAGCAAGGTGCTGGTGGTGTCATCAAACTCTCTAAATGTTCATGTTTAACTCTGACTTTTAATGTCTCAATTTTTATTTTTTTTTTTTTCCTCCTGGCTGACAATGTCATTCTCTGCCTTTGCAGAATACATGCACAGAATGGATATCTATATACTTAGATACTCCTCTCGCTGTTCTCTGCCTACTATCAGCCACTCTCAGTTCACCATGGAAGGGACCCCAATAACATAATTTGTTAATTCACAACTACAGTCAGTGACATTCAATTCATCACTGTTAGAGAACAGTGTTCTGTACAGGCTAGGATGTATAACAAACCACCAGGTACTACGTTTACCCTGTAAGTGGAATAAATGCACGGTGTCCCTCCTAGCCCTGGAATAATTAAGGGCTATGCTTAAGACAGTTTAAAAGGCTCTCACCAAAATGAGGATTTCCACAGCAGCAAAGGAAAGAACATGAATCCATCACCTCATTCAGCTACAGTACTGCTTTTTATTAAATTACTATATTAAAATTTTGCTTAATTTTTAGTTTTTACCCATCAGGACATTATATTCACTTAACTGAGGATACACACAGACTGTCACTGGACTTCAGCAAACCATGCAGATTGCAAAGGGTTGCTGGAAGGTCTGGCTAAATATCCTGTTTTGCAGACACAAATAGCCCTGAGGAGAAATGAAAGGCAAGGACAGTGTAGAAGGGGATAAGTACAAGGATCTCTGGATCTGTGAAGCTGACTTCTTTGGCTAATGGTGTACACTCCACTGTTCTTAGATCTGCCTTAAGAATACCAGCTCATCTTATGCATCTTTTGGAAACACAACTTTTGTTTCAAAAGTTGCTGGAGACAGTTATTAAAAAACATCCAATAAAATTACCCAAAGTTGACAAGGTCAAATGATTGTTTTCATTAAAATATTTGAGCCTCTTGGAGTTCAAGTCTGCCTCTACTGCTTTCGGTTTGTTTGTTTGTTTGTTTGTTTTAAAAAAAAGAAGAGAGTTTGTCTCTCTCTTTTGATATTTACAATGAAACAGGCTGAAGCTGAAAACCAGCCTGGAAGAAAAAGGACATAATATTCCCTCCTTAAATGAATCTGCCTTCTAGAAACAACTTCATGTAAACATTACAGGGCTGGTATTTACATAGCTTTACAGGCAGGTTTGCCTCTTAGAGAGCTTGTGTCGGGGCAGGGACAGAAACTAAAAAAGGGAAAGATCCCATACGGGCTGATAGCTGTGGGACATTTGGTTGTGCTGTTCTTTGCTCTGATGTTGAATTTGTGAGAGCAGATATGTTCAGAAGCCTCCGTCTTTCTTTTTTGTTTCCCTTTTTTGGAATTTTACTAAAAATAGGCATAGCCCTCCCCTGAAATGGCTCTCTGCACAACTTGCTTTCATAAAGCATGAAGTTAAACTCTTACAGTCTGAAAAAAAACAAGTACTCAAGATAGCATTTCCAACTAGTCTGTAATTCCTACTGACTTCCTTGAGGGACATGCCTAAAATTATGTGCATATCTTCTATAGTAATGGAGGATTTCAGCACCTGGTAAACAAGTACAATAAATACCTAACTCTGTTAACATAAATAGCAAGACATTTCTGTGCTTCTGTCTGCTTGTGGAATGCCTCATTTGGGTTCAGGATAGGAGAAGGGCTAATACTCTAATACTGCAGTCAAACAGAAAACCATTTTCCCTTATGCAAAACTTCTCAAGATTTCATCTCCTGAGAGGAACTAAATTGTTTTTTTTCAGAGTTTCCTTTAGGAGAAACTTAAAAAGAAGTCATGTCTGTAGTGGGTCAGATATCATGGTAACAAGAATATTTATACAGGAGATGGAAAACCCAGATTCAAGTCTCTGCTCCTTCTTCCTCATCTCACTTGAATGCTTCAGATGTGTGGGATGGGATATTATGAATTCTCTGTCTCCCACATGGAAATGAATCACAGTGTAACCTCCTTCAGACCCTTCTGGGGATAGATATCATGGTCTGAATCAAAGGTGACTGTTGTCTGTACAGCTTTACTACTCATTGCTGTTCTAGAAAGCATGGAGTGACTGAGACCTAGAAGTACAGAAAAAATAAAGCACTTGGCCTTGTGCTCAAGGCAATGAATTATTCAGTTCTATCCTTGCTTCTGTCACAGACTTCCTTGATGGCACAAAAACTTATTACAGGTATTACTTAGCATACACTAAGATGAAATAGGACAAAGATGATGGCTGCAATTGTACTAGAAAAAGGCAACACATCCTTACTTACCAATTTATACATACATTCATAAACTTATGCTAATTGCTACAGAGAAAAATAAGTGACAGTGCACTAGCACCAGCAGTCTGAACACT